GGCATTTAGTATTCTTAGTAAAAAAGGAGAAATTTTAGAACTACTGCATCGGAACATACTCCCTGCTAATTTACTCTTCAAGAGTACTTGGGGCATCTGCGCCCAGTTAGCAATTGAATTGCCTCGGCACTAATTGAGATAAATCCTGATGTTTCTATCAACACGGTGATCAACACACTGACTAGGGTGACTTTGGTGTTCTTAACGCTTTTTTGGATATCCTCATCTCCAACGCTGAGCTTGGGATTTCAAAATTCTCTACGGGTCAATCACACGAACTCTCAAAGAATATCTAAGATAAACTTTACTTATTATGATAAGGTCTACGAGCTTGACACTTGGAACCTTACGCTTAGATCCTCTACACGAATATTTTCCTTATCTATCTCTCTTGACCCCATAAAGGAATGTGTGCACTTGTGCCTATTGATACCACATGAACAACTGAATAGTTGGAAGAATACTTGACATCTCGTCAATGACATCAACATCATCTCGACTTTGTCTTCCAGCAAACTGATAGGTGGGATCATGTGCTACTAAATAGAAAACATGTCAATCCACTCCTCTACATTTCTAACAGAGTATAGAAAGAACACCAACCAAAATAGGACAATCCATCACCATAAGCGCCAAGGATCTACATCTAAAGCACTCCCTATAAAGCTTAAAGAATCCTCTTCAATGTTTCTTATCATAATGCTCGCACATTGAATACTCATTCACTCTATTAGAGTTCCCAACACCTAGCTCAGACTATAAAGCTGATGGAATTCTCTCAGATCTTACTTCTAAACTCTGGCTCGGTTGAAGAGAGAAGCTTGACATAACTTTCCTCTATTCACGTAAATCTCTAGCTATCTTGGCCACTAATTGAGGCAAATACACTGACATAGAAATCCTCAACTTGAGCTACTTGATTTCCCTAATAAACTCTTCGTCATAGCTTGCACCATCTCTATGGCCTTAGCCTACTGTGATAGCTTTAAAAGCACTCTAGGCGGGTCTGTCGCCAACTACTCAAGAATCTTAATATGAAGTCCCTCAAGAAATCTCTTGCACCTCAAGGAATCAGTCTCAACCAACTCTGGAGCTTAACTACTCAGTTAAAGAAATTATTTCACTTACTCGTACACTAAATGATATCTTTGAACTAGATGAGAGAATTTCATCCTCAAATAATATGTGTGCCTTGTCGATATACTTACATCTTAAATCACGCAAGAACTGATCCCACTAGGCAATTCAAGTTGTAAAGCCATCTCTACAGTCTCCCATCGGTCGATAGCATCACCCTTCAGTAAAGCGGTGATGTTCTCTATCTTATCCTCATGCGTAAGGTGAAGTTGCCTCAAAGTCTTCGTGGTTTCTTTAAACTATTGATTGACTGAAATCGGATCATCATCATCTAAACTGTAGAAGTCAAATATCTTATACCTCCTCGGTGTCTCTACTGAAGACTCTATCGGTACTGACGTACTCTGGGAGGTCGACTGAACAGTCTGCACTCTAGGAATGGTGTTCACTATTACCATGGGAGTGGAGGCTAAAAATCGAAAGGAGGTAATCTCTGTGAATCCTACGCCTAATGGGCCCCATGATCTTCTACCCTAGGTAGAAACTCCTCACTGACACTTTCTAGATGAGAGGCTTAGCTCTCTATCCTAACCTCTAGACCACGCTTGGAACCATCAATCATTACAAATTTTATAACAAAAATTTAGAAAGTAAGGCACCATTAGGATTCTAGACTTATGCGAGTACTTTTAGTACCTAGGGTCATGTATTCACTGACACCTTACTAAAATTGTCCATTGGGCCTAAAGTGCCATATTGGGCTACTTAGGTAACCCCTAATTTTCAAAACACGTTCAATTTCTTTTCAAACGTACTGAATGATATCATAATTAAATCACATTTAATTGACATAAAACATTTTACAAAATCAGAGCTTCGTGACACATACTTTAAATCTAAAATAATACAAACAGTGAGTGTAATAAACTAAATACATGAGTAAGGTTCTATGATTATATTTGCCCACTAAGCTACAATACAATACTCTACCAAATATGTTGGAAGTCCTACTACGACGGTGCTCCATGAACTGCTAAGGATACCAACCTACCCACAAAAAACATTCAAATACTGAGCTTACAAAGCCCAACAGTATAATCAGTAATCTATACCAGCATAAGAATTCCATAAACTAAAGTATGCTAGAGACATAGTACTAAGCATTAGGTATATGCATGATCCAAATTAGTTCTACCCACTCAAGGTTCTTGGGTTCTACCACTCGAATATACGTCTCATGCTTTCCCCTGTCTCTGCTAAGGGCCTCGCCACGACTAAACCTATACCAAGTCTCTAACCTTAGTCTCTTTCTATAATGCATCCTCATGCAACACACAATGATTGTACTTGGTGTCACAAAGACGCTTCGTGAACAAGTAAGCATCATGGTATAGCCCGAGGGTCACATAACATCACAAGAGTCATAACCCTATTTTCTTACTAAAGGTACATTATGTAAGATCTAGGTCACATAGCATCGACACAACATTTAACTAGCGACTAAAGTGCTCTCGCACTAACTTTGATATATTTGGGTATTCTATGCACAGAAGACGGTTGTCCTACTGCTAAAGTAACTTGGGTTTCCTCATTATTTCTTGAGTGATAAACAAAGGCATAAGTTTTATGAAATCTTACCTCATAAGGCTCTTATGGTTATCATACTATTATTTTATTAATCTTTCTCTAAAGCTAACGTCTTAACACACGTTAATTGATGCCACTATAAGGTAATCAAAATAGCTCTTATACTCACTATCGAATATGTTGTAGTTAGTTGAGGTCATTTCCCCTTCGCCCAAACTATCTCGTTCGTCCTTTCACCTAGGACGTTATGCAAAGGCTCATTTATTAAATGTGGGATTGGTTAGCATGATATCTAGCTCGAGTTTTTTATAGGGTAATAAGCCTCCTAATATTCTTATTGTATTTCTCTCAATACCCCCATTAAGGTAGTGGAATGGCTTATACATTCTTGGTTCACCGACGTTCTTGAAGGATCACACTTTCGCTTAATACTAAATTTGACATACTCATCGTATCGCTTACGGTTCATCTCATGCAACAATCCTCGTACTTATCCAATCCGATATGTGCTTTACTACAGATACTCTAATGTATTACTGATAACTCTAAAAAAAGTTATCTTTGATAGCCTTAATTACTTAAGTTTAGTTTGAACTTAAGCATATTTATGATCATTTTAGGATTAAATTTACTTGATTTGCACATTTTGCAAATTATGGGCATAGTGGATTGCTAAGGGCTAAAATTGATTGTTATTGTTGCAAATTGTTACACTGATGTCGAACTACAAGAAATGTTGATCGAATGTTGTAGTAGTCGTATAAGCTTCATACTGTTGGAAGAATCTTCTTAATTGGACAGCTGGTGATGGTAGCTTTCATGTGGATAGATAACACCTGAAACGTGTATTTATCCTACTAGGCGTTGAGATTTGCATTCAAGCTATAAAAAGGGAGTAATTGGGTGCAAAAAGTGTGATTGTGGAGAGAGATCCAAAGAGCTTATTTCCATGGATGCCTAAATCCTTTGCCAGAAACTTTTGCAGCACGAAGAAAGCTTAGCGCTCAGTGGATCTCGTTCAACACCTTCTATTGAGAGATGGAATGACTTGAATAATTAACTTTTGTTGGATGTTTATTATGAATTTTGTATTTAATGTCTATTTGGGTATTTAATTTATGAGCTTTGAACTTCATGATTGTGAGTAGAAATATTTGCAATTAAATATATAGTATTTTCATTTAAATTTAGAAATACCTTTATTCAAATTGTTATGTACATTTGCAAGTCTTGGTGTTATTGAGTAGCATAGGTACACTAAAAAGTGTGCAGCCATAGATTAGTGTTGTTAATGGTTTTATCCTTTAATTAATGAAAACTATTAAAGTATTTCAAATGGATTTAATCAATGTTAATCATATAGATTAAGTATTTCATGTTTACATAAAATTTGGAAGCCATTATCTTATTTCATTTGATTCGATAGCTGACCAATTGCTTCTGGAATGCTGTAGCATGGACTGGTGCTCTTTATTATTGATTTTATTACTTTTTATATATCCTCTTATTTCTTTGTTGCTTTTTATTGTTACCACTCTAATGAAAACAAGCTACTCCCTATAGGTTCGACATCCGAAGCTCTTGTATTTTCCATTTTATTACTTGATTTGCGATACGTGCATTTGTGTGATTTCTATAGCATTTTTGTAGCACCAAGTTTTTGGCGTTGTTGTCTGGGAGCATCTATTTTATGTTATATTTTATTTACTTATTGGTTTTTTTCTTTGTGTAGGTACTTATCTTTATTAGTTTTGTTGGTTTATGACCATAGTGACCACAATCTTGAGCCTTTCGATCTGAAGATAGAACTAACATTCTGACGTCGTCGAAGAAAAGCTGCTAGAAATCAAGAAAACATAAATGTTAGAAACAATAACAATGCTCTACCCCCACTGCAGAATATAGTAAATGCTGACTAGTCAGCTAGAATCAGAGTTAGGCAACTAAATTATAATATAGATTATCATAATTGCCCTATTCATGAGCATTTGGTGCTGACATTGGAAATTTTACATTCAGGCATTGTGAGACCAATTATTAATGTTGTAAAATTCGAACTAATGTCGATTATGTTACAAATGCTACAATCTATGGGTCAATATGGAGGTTCTGCTGCTGAAGATCCTAGATCCCATTTGAGAGCTTTTATTGAAGTTTGTGATTCTTTTATTCAACAAGGTGTTCCAGAGAAGGCCCTGAAGCTGTAGTTATTTCCCTATTCATTGCGTGATAAAGTAAGAGTTTAGTTGATTTCACTACTGCCAGGTTTTGTAGCATCCTGGAATGAATTAGAGCAGAAGTTCTTACTTCGATTCTACCCACCGAATATGAATGCTAAGCTTCGAAATGATTTAACTTCATTCAAGTAGATGGATGATGAAAGTTTGTATGCTGCATGGGAAAGATTTAAAGATTTACTGTGGAAGTGTCTTATGCATGGTTTCCCACATTGGACTTAAATGGAGATGTTTTACAATGGGTTAAATATGCACACTCATATGGTGGTTGATGCCTTACCAAATGGAGCGTTTTTGGATTTGAAATGGAATGAAGCATATGTTATCCTCGAGATAATCTCCACCACCAACTGTCAAAATCTGAATATGCGCAATACATTTGGTCGACGTGGTGTTGCAGCGGTAGACTCAAAAGCCTTTAACTTTATTCTTCTCAAATTTTAGAATTTATAGAAATGGTGAAGTAATTGAACAAACTAGGAGGAATATATGAACTTAATGTCGTATCTTTTATCACTTGCGTTTATTGTGATGATGACTACAATTTTTATGAATGTGGAGTCTATCTACTATATGCGGAATTATCAAAGGAATAATAAAATGTTTGGAAACATCTACAACCTTAATTTCAGAAATCATCCTAATATCTCTTATAGTAGTCAAAATGTTGCAAACCCACAATATCAACAATATCAGTATGCTCAATAGATTCAAGTGCCACAGTTGTAGGCATATCAATATGTTGCTTAGACACAACAAAGATAGAATTATCAGGGTCAATCTTCAACCTTGACACCTTTTGAAGCCATGGGGAAAGAATATATGGCAATCTAATTTGTCTCATTAAGGGCTATAGAGAATCACATGGGACAAATGGCTAATGCTCTGAATAGTCGATTGTCAGGATCGCTACCTAGCAATACTGAGAATCCAAAGCAAAATGGTAATGAGCTTGCAAGGCCATTACCACAAGAAGTGGAATTCATATTGGGTACCCAATTGAAGAACTAAAGAAGAAGAGCGAGGAAGCTCATCAACATCGTAAACGGAAGTGATAACTCTGTTAAAAAGACTCAATTTTTGGTCTTTTCACTTAAATTATTGCTCGTCTAAACAAAGTATGGAAAACATTTTAATTGTTTTTAGTTGCATTTAGGTTATATTTGCTTTTGGTGCATAAGTTTTTCTTCAGCAAGATTTATTTGGTTTAACTGATGTTGTTGAGGAGAAAGGGTGCGTGTGGATTGTGAATGTGAAGGAAACCTACAGAGGAAAAACATTTCAGTCGAGACAACGAAATTTGCAATGGCAAATGGAATAGAGAAGAACGTGAGGAGCATATGTATCTCTCTGAGGCAAGATTTATTTGAAGAGTCTGAAGCGGATATGACGAAACCACCTATGTCACATGCCAACTGGATGACCTCTTTCATGTGCAAGCAAGCCTTAAATATTCTGACTACCATCAGTCCCCTTTCCTTTTTAGGCTGGATAAGATAGCAATAGTTATTTAAGGAATATCTAATCATGCGAAAGCCTAGGAGATTCCTCCCTATAAATATCCAGCCGTAGCCGCCAAAGAAAGAAGGCAAGGAAAAAGAGAGAAGAGCTTTACTGAAAACAGGAGCGAGCAACTGCAGTGCTTTCTCACCGTTTACCCACCGACCTTCCTTGGTGTCCTCCATAACCATACTGTAGCAGAGGGTGATCAGGTCTCGAGAGAGGCTGATCACCAAGGCAGGTGCGTCACTGATCAGAATTATCATGACAGAGCCCCCAGTTTTGGAAGTCGTTCTTTCTTTGTTGTTAAAGTCTTTACATATTTCGAGTTGTATTAAACGTTGAATCTTGGATGACTTTTTGATAGCACCATGACTGTCTTACTTGGTGTTAATCTTTTTTTTTTTGCATAGGCAATTATTTTCTTCTTTATGAATGAAGAATTATGCTTTTGCTCATGACTGTTTTGTTCATTGTTTGAATATTTTACCTTGACACTATAAGAGCATCAAGAGATCGCCTGGGGCTTTGGTAAAACATGTCTTGGCAATGTAAGAGCATCGAGAGATCGCCTTTTGTATAGATAGTGATTCTTAGATTTGATAGAATTAAGAGAAATCTACATCAACAATGGAATTAATCCGGGATGGTGATGTTCTAAATTGTCAACCTTAGAGATAAGGAGTGGGTTTCAATCGACTAAAAGGGATAGACAACGCCTATAGTTCACGCTGAGAGGTATTGCTACAACAACAATCTGACAAACCAATGATTGTAGTTAACGCTGAGTAGTATTGCCATAGTAACCGTCCAAGAATACTTAGTAATCCTGTCGGGCAGCTTAAGCAAGTCATAATAATTCATTCTAGACTTAGAATAATTGTTATCAATGCAAAAAATTAAAACAAGTGCTCTATGATAAGTCTGAATATGTGAGGTTGTTTGAATTATATTTAAATCAACATTTGTCTTTGTTTTGTTTTATTTTAGTAGTCTGCATGTTTATTTGTCTCGACCAAACTTTTCTGCAATCATACATTATAATATTTCCTCATGTTATTAATATTAGTTTTTTAGTTTGACAATATAGTAGGAATTCGTTTGTGAAAACTAGTTCTAGTTGTGGTGAAGATAAATTTCTAGATCAATCCTTGAGGAGACGATAACTCACTTACCCTATATTACTTGATTTGATTGTGTATACTTGCAAAAAATTACTTGCTTTAGCATATACATTTACATGCAATCAAGTTTTTGGCGATGTTGCCAGGGATTAACAACTGACGAAATTTTTATTCGCCTTAACAAGTTTTTCTTGTCACCTTATATTTATCTAGTCTAACGTAGTTTACTATTTTTCTTTTGTAGGTTTTTATTATTGAATGACCCTGAGATCTGTTGGTAAACCTTTGGAACCATTCGGCCCCGAAGTTGAACAATCGTTCAGACAAAGGCTACGTGCCTAAAGAACCAGAAAAAATTTAAACCAACTACAATTACAAGGCAACAACATGGGAGATCACGATGATCATGATACAGCAATTAATCTTCAAGTTGCAAGACCAAGAGCAATACAAGATCATTTGAACCCAATTCTCGATGACCTCAATCCAGGCATAGTGCCACCTGAGATACAAACAACTCATTTTGAGCTTAAACCGGTGATGTTTAATATGCTAAATTCTATCGGCCAATTTGGTGGTACACCCAATGAGGATGCTAGACAGCATATTCGTGCTTTCCTTGAAGTTTGTTCGTTTCGACAACAAGGAGTACATGAAGATGTGCTTAAACTAAAACTTTTCCTTTATTCCCTACTTGATAGAGCGAGAGCTTAGCTCAGTTGAGTTTCTTCTGGCTCAATGGAGTCATGGGCAGATTTATGCAAGAGTTTCTTACTTCGATACAATCCGCCCAATATGAATACACAGCTTCGCAATGACATTGCAAGTTTTCGCCAAGGAGATGATGAATCAATGTACGAATGTTAGGATAGGTATAAAAGTCTACTTCGCAAATGTGTCAACCATTGATTTTATGACTGGACTCAAGTAGTGATGTTTTACAACGGAGTTAATGAACCTACTCGAATGACGTTAGATAGCTCAACAAATGGCACCTTACTTGACAAATCACCCGAGGAAGCCTTTCATATCCTCGACAGGATAGCAAATAATGATTATCAATTCCTAAATACAAGATTAGGAGCCGACAGAAAAATATTTGTAGCATATGAATTAGAGGGTAAGGATTCGTTAACTGCTCAACTTTCTGCCATAACTAATATGTTGAAAAATTTGCAATGTCCTAATAAGGTAAGAAAAGTCAAGGTGACCAATCACACATGCATATTTTGTCATGGCAACCATCATGAGAGTGAATATCCAGAAAACTATGAGTCAACCAATTTTGTGGGCAATTACAACCATAGCAATAATAACCCCTATTCAAACACGTACAATCTTGGTTGGAGACAACATCCGAACTTTTCATAGAGTAATCAAGGGAACATTAATAATCAAACAGCAAATTAAAGGCCACAACATAATAATTCTGACCATCAGCATTTTCAGAATCAACATCATCAGCAGCACTAGCAAAACATTAAATGTATAGCTTCTTCCTCTAATACTAATTCCAATTCTAATTCATTAGAGTCATCATTGCAGGAATTTATGGCCTCGATAAAAGATTTCATGGCCTCAACAAAGAGCTTGTTGCACAAGCATTCTGTAACAATTAAAAATCAAGGAAATTTGTTACAAAGCCAAGACACACTTTTACAAAGCCATAGTTCATCTCTAAGAGCATTGAAGAGTCAAGCGGGACAAATTGTTACGACATTACATTCTCACCCATAAGGAAATATCCCTAGTGATACGAAGATCACTAAATATCATGGAAAGGAGCAATACAATGTACTTACACTAAGGAGCGGAACACAAGTTAACCAAAACAACAAGTTTGGGGGAGAACACCTAAACAGTCCTCACCTTGGCAAAACACAACCAGATGATCAAGCTGAAAGTGAGAAACAAGATAAAATGCCTGAAGAGAAGGAAAATGATGGAGGCTCAGAAAAACATCGTCCAGGTAATGAAAAATTCATAGCCAAGGCCAGAGATTCCTCAACACCAACAGCAGATAATGTGAGACCTCCATCACCGTTCCTTCAACTATTGAAGAAGCATAATGATGACATCCAGTTCAAGAAATTTGTTGATGTTCTGGACCAGTTGTATATCAATGTTCCCTTACTTGAAGCCATCGAGCAAATGCCTTTCTATGCCAAGTTTCTCAAGGATATCATTACAAAGAAGATGAAGGTAGAACGTGTTGCTACGGCAATAGAAATGTGTTATGTAATAAGCAAACTCCCACCAAAACAAAAAGACCCTGGCAACTTTATAATACGATGCTCAATTGGTAATGACTTTGTAGGACGAGCTCTTGTTGATTTGGGATCAAGTGTAAACTTGATACCAAAGTCCATATTTATCAAACTAGAAGGATATGACATTTGTCCAACCACAGTGATCCTACAGCTAGCCGATCGGTCTTATGTGCGGCCCGAGGCTAGAATAGAAGACATCATAGAAAAGGTAAACAAATTCGTATTTCCAATTGATTTCCTCATCTTGGACTACGAAGCTGATGAAAATGCACCTATCATTCTGGGATGACACTTTTTAGCCACTGGAAGAAT